CTTTATAACAATTATAAACTTGAGAAGTTGCATTGCATAAACACGACCAGGACTCCAACACAATTATTCCGATTTTGAATCTGATGTGCAACGTAGACATGATACCACTTTGGAAAAATATAATAAAAACTGCATTCGGTGTAATACTAAAGCATGAACCTGATCTTCACGTCTGTGAGTTATCTGCACAAATTCAGTGTCTTTCACTTTTATTGACTTCATCTATCTAACAACATTAATTGGGAAACATGTAGTAAGCAAACTGGTGTTGTAAATTTTAGATCATGCCGGTAAAAATGGTATGTACCTGCTGTGACAGAAGTATATTATTTTATAATCGTAAACCAAACAGAAAGTTGTAGGTATGTGAAGATGTGGTTACCTAATCCATAAGATCCAATGTGAAGGTCACAACATAGTCTATGTCGACCCGTCCCATTTTGACTATCGGCCTGCTTGAGCATCTGGGCTACCTGTTCCTGCCATCTAGATATTTCAACAAGTTATCTATTGTTGTTTGTTTTAATATATCATTATGTTTATTAATCGCATAACCTATTCTGCTGCGTTTCTGAAAAGTGTACAACCTTTCGTTGTCAAAGTTACAGAAAACTCAATAAGAGACAATATGGTTGCTGGCAACGTACAACGAAAAGAATGTACATTATTCAGTTGTTCATTCACTGAAGTGCTAACATCTAACTGGCGATTCCTCAATATTTATCGCCAGGACCGACCAAGAAGAAAGAAACGGAAACTTGTTGAAATACTTTGCGCTGAGAATTCTATATTGTACCAAAATTATAATATTGAATAAAGCTAATAATAATAATAATAAAGTCTAATACTTCTAAAAAACACATTTTGGACCGGGTAGACAACAGTATATTCAATACAAAAACAAAGGGTTACATGTGATGATCGAGTCTGCATCGAACAGCCATGCCAAAACGATCAATTGTCATCGCATTCAGCGTTGTCGAACTCCTCCAAGTATTACACGTTGAATGCCATTAATTGCAGTACTTTTATGTTCACAATCGTGTTACTATGAGCCAATATCACTAAATTTTAGGAGGGTATATTAACACGTCTAAGCTTTCACTCGTTTCCGTTATTGAAGAATGTTATATACGGTATATATTGCAAATTACGAACCCAAATTAACAAAAGAATCAAACTCCAATTTAGGTACCGAAGTTTATTCGCAATTTACAAATAGTCGACCCAAATGTCGTTCTTCAACAATAACTATGACATTTACAAAACAAACCAGTACAGAAACTCCCAAAAACCAAACCAAAGACAAAGAGAAACCAAGGTGTCCGAAATAATGATATAAACAAACAAGTTCAGAAGTAAAACAAATACATCCAAAACAGTGAATTTAATAATATTTAATATTTAGTTTCTGATCAGCCAAATGTCTTCAGTTCTCCGGCAACACTCCCAACCAAAAGAACCTTAGTCCTTTTCACAGGAAAATAAATAGGCAGCGAGAATCTAAGCATTTGCATCACAAGCAATCAACAGGAAACATTCAGTATACCAACAATATCGTGATCCCTAGGACATACATCAGTACACTTAGGGATCCGAGTAGCTACCTTACATCTACAACTCCTAGACGCAGTTTTCAAATATCTCTTACTAAGATTCTTCGGCTTGTCCTAAACTCCATCAGTCTTAATCCATCGTTACTAGATATCACTTTCTTACCAGACCTAATAACCATCCCGTAACTTATATATACTGACATCTAAACTTGCGAGAAGTTCGTTTGTTCGTAAAACAGCAGATTTTCGATATTACAGAATTACTTCGAAGCAACCAGTAGGCCCACTAGGGATCAATAGTCATCATCTACAGTGATTGAATTTCAATACCACACCTGAATGCAGAATACGATATAAAAATTTGGGTTTATTCGGTTACCCAATACTGAGCTTCTTCGAGTCATTCACAGACGAAAAGTACACTGGAACACAAACTTTGCGCTGTACCATTACTATGGCAAAACTTTTCGAAAAATAGTAAAATACCTTTAAAAGCCCTGCTTGCCACGATGCACTCAATAGTTTAACTGGTTTAAAATAATATACTCTACAACAAAACGTAACTGTACCTGAGATTCCTCAATAATATCTCTTGAAAAATGAAACCAAACTTTCCACCCGTAAGCGTCGATTCGACCCCCAAATGTTTTTGGCGAACGGTATTAATTAGAAGGGAATGAAATGACCTGTGAAAGATAAGAATATAGTTTAGGAATACAAATGGATGGATTTTTATTTTGGAATTTCACACTACTTTTATGACAGCAAAAAGTCGGTTTATATAGTTTTCCGAAAATTCGTGGAAGGAGCTGCGTTAAGTTACACATGTAGTGACTCACTGTTATCGCGAGAACACGATTGGTTTGATGAAAACAATTATTATTATTATTATGACCAATTGTACCTGTGCTTGTTTAATGTGCTCTTTGTTTAACTGTGTCAAAAACATTCATTATCCTTACACGTTGATTGTGACCTCGCGCGAATTCGGTTACACTCTGTAACCAAGCTTGTATCCTGGCCCGATCTCAGTATTCTTTCGATACCACGAGATCGACAGTAAATATATCTCGACTTGGTCCATTGACTGCCTTCTGATATTTGGTTTCCTGGGGTATTTATGGATTTATTTGGCATGTGTTTCTCTGTAGCGGTGTTCATAGCCAATCTCGACTCGACGCCACGCTACACACCTATCAGATAATCTTTGTTTTTAATGCGAGTGTATTGGCTATATGACCTACTAAGCAACTTCATAAACCTGCTATTTAAAGCTGCTCTTTTTTTACTGTTCAGCACATCAAACTTCATTGAATACGATGACGTTGATCACGCAGACTTAATGAACGACTTGGTTAACAAGTTTTCATTCGATAACTTCATCACAAAGTGATATCAGCTATAATGCCGAAATGATAGCTAGCCATATGTGTGATCAAGTTCCACGCAAAAAACCGAAACCTGCTCTCTTAAATCTGACTGTATGTCATTGGTTAATTATCTCTTTCAACATGTTCTTTTGTAACGTTTCCCAAGGACATTTTTATGTACATTTCTATATACACGCTCGATCTATGATTTTGGTTGCTGTGTAGTGGCATCGAGCCTTAACTACACAATCCTCAAAGCTGGACACGAGACAATTGGGGAAATAGATTTTCAAGATTTAACGCGGAGGATACCTCAACAATGGACTGAGTTGATCCGAGTTGTTCGGATGGCATCGCTCGGCATCGCAGGCGTGGCCCATGTCGAATGTTACCTCATATCTTTTATGTATATTAAATATATTGTTCTATCTCTAGCCTATGCTTGTTCTCCATCATGTGTTGGTAATTGTTACGATGCAATGAGTTGGTGTAGAGGATGATGATGTGACTTCCATGTGAGATCTTGGAGATTAGGCAGTTATATCATGACAGATCCACAATTTTAGGATTAGGTCTATTTGCAGAATTATGGTCTACTTCGCTATCAGTAATGCCAAAATCGTAGATTTGTTATGATGTAACCGCCTAATCTATAATATCTTACGTGGAAGTTACATCATTGTCTACCCTGATTCAACCATCAATATAAAGCGAAGAACACACCTAGACTAGAGATAGAACAGTATATTTAATATGGATAAAAATGCCATATAAGACTACGCCTGCAAGGCCGAGCGATGCCATACGACCAACCCGAATTACTTCAACTCATTGTTCCTACCTTCTCCATCGTTGGGTTCTTCTCCACGTTAAATCTTGAACATTTATTTCCCCAATTGTCTCGTGTTCAGCTTTGATGATTGTGTGGTTAGAGCCCAATGACAATACATATTATTAGAGCAGTACTAATATCATAGTAGACCATAATTCTACACTGATAAGCCCGACTAGAGAGACGCAACCTATTACTATTAATCCTTATTTCCAATTTAACTTTCTGGATCGATTTTTACTTATATAAACCAATTATTCTGAATAATGCTCACTTGTATTATCATAATGTTACATTAATTAGTACTCATAACCTACTAGCTCAATCGATAATAAGTACTGGTTATTCATATTAATTATTAGCTTTGATGGTTCGTTAGCAAGCTTTAATAACATTTACATGCTTCAGAGAAATAAACTTGTTTAAACATCACGTTCTATCAAATATGACCTGTAAATAATGTAAATATACCTTGACCAGCAACGCATGCAAAGATTAAATATTTATCTGGGCCCAACTCTTCATACTGTTTCTTTACTGAACATTTTAATCTATCGTGTAATATCTTTTCTTCCGACCACTGCCTGCCTAATTTCTAGTTGCTGAGCTCCATGACCAAACAGAGGATACGAATGCTAAAAATTTACTGTGAGTTTGAACCAAAAATCATGACAGATCTACAATTTGTGGACTAGCTCTATTATTAGAGCAGTACCAATATCATAGTAGACCGCAACCCAAAAGTTGCTCGTGCTTCTGGTTGCTTGTGGAATACATTTCCCTCTTCTGAACCTGGACTTCCCCCTATAGTTAGTGGGTCTGAGACGCATCGGAATCGTTAGCTTATTAGTCATTGTGTCACTGAGTCTTCATTCCGTTCGCAGATTAGTTAAACTAGTCATCTTTTCAAACACATCAACATGCTTTGACTTCAGAATCCCATATAATCTACTGATATACGCTCGCTGTATCTGAAGGTTAATGAAGCTTACATAGAAGCACTATTTGCATCACTGCGAATGAGGTTGAGGACAGCTGTATATGCGATGAATTTTACATCCGGATAACCATTACATAACTCTCTGCAGTGGAAATAAATAGCACAATTACCAATTAGAAATGATGGATTACAAAACGTCTTTAAAAGTGTTTTATTCACTAATTTATGTTCATATACACAGTCTGCAATTCATCGATGGCCAAAAACAACCGGCGAGATTAAGCATGATTAACCAGCGGAAACCCGAAGCGGCTGATTCAATAATATATACTAATGAGCCATCTGTAGGATAACTCAATCCTACAGTCAACACATATATGCCTGATTCTTACCTCAATGTAAAAATCTGGGACATCTCGAGTCCAAATTAACTTTGGAGGAACCATGGACTTATTGCGAGTATATGAAGTTTGACGCAGGCTTACAGGACTGGAAAGAAACGAATCAAGTGAAGGTGGAAACGATATTTGAAGAATTATTTCATACAATTTGTTCGGCTTCCAAATATATATCATGCACTGGATCCACTTTATATATTTAAATGGATGACCTCGGTGTTTCATAAGCGTCAGAGCAGAATAATGAAGGTCAGATTTATGAGATTACAAAGTTTCTCTCAGATCAATATCAAAACAGTCTCCATACGACACTAATAGCTGTTTGTATGAATGAGTCTTAAAAATCTATTCATATGCATTAAAGCCACGTTCGAGAAACAGTACAAATCACTGAAGGAATTCGATACCAGTTACAATGCGTTTACATGCTCGAAAAATTAAATGAAATAGGTAATAAGGTTTACTGGGAATATTTGGTTAAAAAACGGAGTAACTTTGTTTTTGCATATCTTCATGAAACTTTGGAAACTTAAATGTTGAATTGCTCTGTAGAGAGCTTGTATTTCTATCTTCAAATTTCTCTTGAGCATATTTCTTAATATTTCACACTTGTACATGTCTAGGATTTTGTTTGTATGTCTCAGTATCTATTTAGCAGTTTCTCGTCACTGTTTCAATAGTTTCCAAGATTGCTAGAATCTGAGACTTCTGTTATCACTGATTGCTGCTTATTATTTTCCTAAATAACAGTGAGTGCATCACGTGCGCTAACTGGGTCATCGACTCACCTTTTCTTGCCTTCTTTTCCAGTCCTCGAAGACTGATGTTAATATTTATTATGAAATAAAGTTTAATTTCCGAGTTATTCAGAGCAAAGGCGAGATGTACGTCATGAGTGTAGGCGATGCTTGAAGTTCCTATGAAGCCAGACTGAAAATAGACATTTCTGTGAAAATCTAAGCTCAAATCTTTAAAGATACCAATTGGCGATAACTAAGTTGTTTAAACAACTTAGTTTGCAATGACACATGCATTTTTCGAGAGTTCGCCTTTATTTTTCCATTCTTATTTTATTCGATCCTCACGAGTTTACATCATGGATGTATCAGGAAACACTTCTAATAAGCTTACGCATATGGTAATTAATTACTACATTTTTGGTGATAGTTGGGTTAGAGACACCTTTGACTGATGACATTTTTAAATGTTTACTTTTGGAACAAGAAAAATGATAGAAACGTCTTAATAAAACTTATGTAAACCATTTTGTTTCTAACGCCCACGTCCTAGTGATAAGTATTGATTCCCGAATCAAGTAGTGGTGGTAAGGGGGCAGCAATATCATTTTTCTAAAGTGGAAATATTTTACGGACATAATAAAAGGGGTTGTACGTTTAGGATGCGAAATGCACGATTGCTCGAGTTATTACTTTCTGTTTGAATATAGAGAAAGAAGGGAGCTGATCTCACTACATTCAACAAGTTCTTAAGTCACTCATACATTCCACAAAAGTAACCCAACTATTCTGCCCCTTTGGTAACCCACAATGATATCTTGGAAAGATTTCTTCTTAACGATCGAACACCCAGTTACGATTCCATTTTTTTTATCATCACGTATCAAATCCTTACTAACTACATATCTGCTGTAGTCACGGTCTCTTCAGTGGACCGTTTTAAATGAACATTAAGTAACGGTGTCAAACTCTATCAGACTTTGCAGGTGAAACTATAATTTATGGAGGAACCAGATAATTCCTTGTAGTCACATATTTAGTAACTTTGTTTTCCTTTTTAGTAGTACACAATAATGGTTAGTCGAGTACATATAAAGAATTGTCCAGATAAGGAAAATTGCTGCCATTCCCTGAAGGTCATGGACTGTGTTATCAATATTGAAAAATCATTAAATCGTGAACTGATTTTAAACGGTCCCAATTTCTTAGCTGGATTATTTCGTATTACTCCTCGTATACAGCCAGAAATTTTACAAGCTGAGGAACGACCGAAACCATCATTTACTCAGCCAAAACATAGTAGATCTCATGTGAACTTGTGTTCTCGAATTTTATCAGAATCTAATTGCTTACATTCTCAGGAATCCTTACAACTTTCTTCAATTGAGGTGAGTTGTGTCGTTCAATGTTATAGTTTGCTGTGTAGAACTTAGTGATGTATTTGGTACTTGCACAGCCAAACAAAAATAAAGGGTAGCTGAGATTCAGTTGTATTATGTTCTTAGGAAATCTGATACTAATGGTTGGGTTTGTTGATTAATATTTTTGAGAATATCGATTGATCCGTTCTCTATGTAAATTATCTCAGACTATGTATCACAAAACAACCTTGATTTCATTTAGATCCTTTTTGTTTCTAATTTTTATATGCTTTTAAAAGCTACAAAAACTTAAATGCAATTTTATTTAGGTTCTTATGAAGCAGATACAGTCCTAAAAGTTTATGCCTAACAGTCAGGTTGTAATTGATTGGGTTGTCAGTGATCTATAGGCTGATTTCTTTCAATCGCCTATTATATTCGATCATGTTTATTTGTGCTCACATTCTGTGTATACGCATCGCATTTTATCACACGAAAAATCCATTCATCTGGGTAGTGGTCTTGATTTATAATCAGTCGGGAGTTCAAGTCAACTATACGCTCTCGTGGGTAGCCGTCATTTGGTTACATCTATGTCATTGGGTCCACCTGTTGCTAAGCATTCTAATCATTGGTTTTAACATGTGGAAAGCCACTAATTAAAATCATCCATAGCAGAAGCCTAGTCTAGTTTTCTACATATCACTTGGAAATCTACAAGCCAAGAAGTGATACCTGTCTATGAAGACGATGCAAACTGGGCTAAGCCATGTAAAAAGCTACAGACTACTTGTCTAGAGTTTGCGGGAGTTTTCAGACCAGTGGCTAAAGACTTTGGATGATATGGCTAAAAATCTTTCACAATGATGCAGATGCATTTACTCTTTGTCTTATATTAAAAGCTATCTCGAAATCTTTTTTTCTACATCAAATCTTTTCGACTACCATTGATACTGTTACTAATTCTACTGTTCTGGCATTTGTCTTGATAATTTTATCCATGTACCAATGTGGTGTGGCAACTTGAACTGATACAAATGTGTCAGGTTCTGCGTTGCATATAATCGATAAACTGAATGACTCTAGAAATAAAAGATCGGTCAGTAATTAATACTGATTATATAAAAATGAACGAATTCATACGGATAAGTTATCTTTTATTAAACACAATGTTGGAGTGAAAAAATGAGCTTCACAAACTTCCTAACACATTTTAAACTTACTTAATTTGAGATGATGGTGGATAGCAGTCATAAACATCAATGGGACGATTCAAGCAACTAATACAAAAATGGACTTGTCTAATTTGGTTGAAACATTACTATTAACTGTTGAAACTGTTTATAAATAAACCCTGTGTCCAATATCGGCTAAATTTTTAGCTATAAAGTGTCTTACGATCCTCCCATGTGTTACCTAACTATAAACGATGATGTTGAGAACTGTGATGATAGCACTAACATCGGATTGTTAGCACCGTTTTGGTTTGATTTTTTGGTCCGAATCGCGCCAACTTCTACTTAAGCATCATAATCAACATACTGGTACGGTTTAACTAATTTAATACAAATAAATAACACATGCAGCGAAAATCAGGGCCAAGAGGTTACATCTAGTTATGTCTTCTTTCTGTTTAATCATTAATTTCGGTTTGACAATCAAAATACTATGAAACAAGTGTTGTTGTTAATCTTTGAATAATAGAATCTATCGGTTTCATTTTATGCACGTGGTATAAGGCCAGACAATCATCAAAATATATGACATTTAATCACTTGTCTACCTTTCTAAAACCTGCCCCACTTGTGGTTTTGTGGTGGACGCTACTCACAAGTAGTATGAAGTAGAATCTGACCTCGGAGCTGCCAGTCAGACGGAGGAAAGGATTTCTGTACATCCAAAGTACGGCGTAGACAAAACACTTAAAGATCAGAAGCGGAGACAATTTGCATTGTAGAACACATCGCAAGATCCAAACGGATGACTTTAGGCTATATTTATGAATTATGTAAGTACATTGCAATCTCTCACACTAAACATTGATTACTTCTGCCAATTGCCTTGTTCTACAGTATTGCACAACACAATGCAGCTCATAGCAGAATACTCACACTTACTTGCTAAATGAGTTATATTAGCACTTTTTCCGTTAACACTTATCACATCAGGGAGAGTCACGATTGGTATTATAAAATTACCAAATATAACATTTTCCTTATGATGCACTTAAAAATTTAGGTGTTAAATGTGCGTAGTGAAAATAATAAAAAATGTATTAATGCACCAATCAATGATGGAACTTTACCAAATGCTGAGACAATCAAATCGGAATTTCATCAACATGCATGTAAATCAACGCCTAATCCTCCAGATGATGAGAATAATAGTGTTACTACCAGTCTTCAAATTATAATATCAGAGTCTATGAATGAAGAAGTTAATAATGAATCGGCATCAATTGCCAAGGTATGCATGTGATAATTATACTTTTTGAAATAATTCTTGACAATTTATGATTTGTATGATATTATGTCTACCAGAGCCAAAAATAGTCGTCTAGTAGAATGGTTTACACTACTCTGCCATATACTGTGATTTTCTTTCTAAATGCAATACTTTTGAAGTGACGACGAAACTTAAGTCATGTGTATTTCTTGAGAAACACGTGATTATGAATCAATCAGTCATATAAGTAACAAAGAAATTGATGCATATGTGTATCGGTTCAAATTGTACACAATGTCAACACAGCGAGATAAAATCATTAAGGCGGTTTATCAGAATAATAAAAGGAGTAAAATCACCTTTGGTAATAGAAAATATGGGAACATAAACAATATAATTCAAAGAGAAGAATGATTAACTTCACGGGATTAAATGTTTAAAATTATTTAGAAACTCAAGATCTAAGGGAAAACAACGAATGCGTCTATAATGTTGCGATCTATTCTGTCATGTTACCTAATGTCTTCAATGGTCTCCAGTGGTTACAATAATCGCGCTAAACTCAGCCAAGGAATCTGCGTCTATTAATATGGTTCAGTCCAATAGTCAATGAATTCATAGACCGTCTTATGTCATGTTTTGGTTTAGCCGTCATTAGTCTTCCAACCTATTCCTTATCTGGTCAATATCCTACGTCGAAGTAAGTTGTTGAACTTATGTGCTGCATGTTCTGACCACTACAGTTGATAAATATCCACTACTTCATCAAGTAACTTACTATCCTAATCCAATTCCATGTATTTAACCTGAGGATTGCTAGTAATACTTTGACGGTATCTATAACCAAATATGAGTAATATACGAGCATTTTTTATAAAATATGTAATATAGGGTATGTATCAGCCTACTTTATTGTGTTCTTTTTGCTTGAATAATAAGATACAAGGAATCTGGAAATTGTTGGAACGGTATATGATATAACGTGACTAGTTTACTAACTGATGTATAATGATAAAAAAAATTCAGATCAAGGATATCGGAATAATAAGATTTCCACGTTATTAATAACCCCAGGTAACCCGATGCATCGGTCAGACAAATTTCTATTTAAAATTCCCCTCAGTATACATTTTATTTGCAATCGTAAGGACTCTCATGCAAAAACTGTAATTATTGTGCAGAGCATTCAGTATCCAGTAAATTCACGTCGTCAGTGAACATTATTAGGAGTGACGTGGAAACCCACATCCGATTTCTGAAGCCAAAGAACCCTAAGTGCTCACTGGTAAATCTGATTTTAAAGAAAATTCTCTACAATCATTTCAAAAATTAAGAATACACAAGACATGTATTTATCTTCAGCTTTTTAATTCCCAAACTGAATACATGCCCCTTGATTAGCAAACCCAGTCTTGTGATATGAATTGGTGCAAGTCAACAATCATACACAACTTTTGAGAACATCTGTTAAGGCCTCATTGTTTGACTGTTAAGTATATACCGCTTGGTACAGACGAAAGCTCAATTTCGAACTACTAACTTTTATTATTGAATGTTTTCAAAGCACTAAGGTCATTGCTATAATTCTGTGAAAAAAAACTCATCCAGTTTAACAGGAAGATGAATAAATCTGTATATCAGTAGGTAACTGGTCTAAACTCGATTTCTGATCAACTTCACATGCATTCGGAAGACACATGGTAATATATGTTTATATATTCATTCACCATCTACTGAGTATGAGACACATTATAGGTGTGATGGGTAATGGTAGCATTCCCCGCTCCCGCCGCACTAACCCAGGTTCAAATCCTGGCAGTGATATCGTATTTGTTAGCCACCAAACGCTCTGGTACGACGGAGGGTAGGGGAGTCCACTCCCTCTCGAAATGCTCTCACATGACCACGTGCATACAACCACTGGCATACAAGTCCTACTCACTACCTTTTCGCGGCATTACTGTTGTTTACGAAATTGAGAGAACGAAAAGCGAATGTCCGGTGCTTTAACCGGCCTGGTGAAGACGAACTGTCCACCTACAGGAGTTGGAAAACCCTGATTCCAAACTAATGGCGCACATGGGCTCCAGTCACTTGAAGGAACAAATAGCGTACGAACCAATCGTTGGTCACCGTCTATCATAGGACTGCATCTCCTGACGTTGCTCCACTTTCTTGTGGATCAGACCTTTAGGTCCAAGGCTCCGGGTGTGGCCCTCTAAGGAAAACAACCTGCTTCGGTCTAGGCACCTAGGGAGTACCACAGTCCGCATACAAATCAAGTGATTTGTGTGTCGCATACCTATTCGGTGCCTCCTTGTACCAATATTTGCGTTTAAATAAATAATAATACAGTGAAGTAGGTAAAGCGGGATTTTACAATGAGAACCATAAATATCTATTCCTTTAATTTTATATTATTTGTATCCATTGTATTTCCATATTCTTTTATGTATTCATCTCTCTATAGAAACACAGACAAGAATTGTTAATTGCATATGAGAAAGCAATACAACCAATAATTTCAATTGATCTATTACCAGAATATGAAATCAAACTTTTATCACTATTCCAATAAAACTATTTTACTACATGTTTTTATATATTTTTCTTAGTAATTCATATAGAACATACTAATTGTAATCATAAAGTGTTTATTATTAAGTTCTATACATAGTTGATTTGAATAAATAACCTTTTTTTTTTAAAAAAATAGATAAATTTAAAGCTTCATAGTTTGAGCCACGGTAACAAGAGTTGATGAATTCCAGATAGTTAATGGGGATTTTGCCTTAGCAACATTATAATATAATGTCTTCAGACATTAATTTTCACTGTATAGAAAACTTGGTGTTTACGGATAATTGTTAGCGTTATGTTCGAGGATTGTTTACTTCGATAAGCAATGTTAGCTGGTGTAGAAGTAAGCTTTAAAGAAAACTAGGCCGGGCTAAATCAAAACATAATATCGGCCTATATGGTCGCTCGTCAAAGCCAAGTTGGTAAATGCAGATTGTTTGATCGAGGTTTGCGCAGTTATCGTGTCTTTTGGTTAACAACGTTGAGTGATTTGGCTTAGAATCAATCACGGTAGTGCAGGTGCATTTATTCTGCTTGTTTTTAGATTTTAACTGTCAGTATTTTGCAATACACAACTTTCAGTCCTGTCTAATCGAATCATACTTCCAAACTCTAACCTTTCTCACTATCATTGCTACTGATCTTGTGGTTATGCGGAATACCAACTTTGGTCAACACATGTTTGTGCTAGGCGCTACATTGATTATTAATAAATGACCGACTGAACTAATTCTGCCGGGAGTCCCATGAAATTAGCTCCCATTTTTTTAGTATATCGAGAAGTGTTGTCCTCTTAGATAATGCTCAGCGCTACAGTTGGACACACTAAATTGTTAAATTAACAATCCTAATGACTTCTATTGACTGAATCTGACAGTATATCGTGTCACATTACCGGGTGGCTTAGTTTATATTGGTCGAACTTACCTACTTGGTTTGATCAATTGTCTTAATGTAGCCGAAAAACAACGTTATGAAATAGTAGTGAGAACGAATTTGGCTTGCTTTTTATGAGACGGAATGGTGATTTAATGTGCACTTCACTCGATACACTAATCATACAACCACATGTTCTGACTTATACGCCCCTCGATATGAAAGCTGTTTTTATACTTAGATCCAAATAATGGTTCGAATGAATGGATGGTTAATTATTCAAAGCATTCTTTCCTTTTTCATACTTATGTTGTGGTCAACTCAGCCACTATCAAGATCAATATTCCAGCATGAGACTATTGCCAAAATCAGAATAATGATGTTCACAGCCCATGTACATTTACAGATTGGTCATCATCTACACGGGTATCTCTTTTTGCAGAAAAGCGTCCGGCTGGCCTAAGATATCAACTTAATGAAAGTTTTTCAAGGTGGAAATACGTTCGGACAGTTACTTATTTGGACAATTTACGATATAACATAGAATTTTAGAGGATATCAAAATGCTATTGTCATCATCTTAGGTTAGAGATCATTACTACTGTCTCATAATTCGTAATTCTCAAGGTAGGAATTATAGATCGGAATAGTTACTTTGGTCCACTCAAATTATTTTCACATCTCGTCCCAATGGTAAATTCCTATCGATTTACCTCACAGACACTCGATATCGTTTTAGGATATGCTTACTCAGAAAGTCTGAATTTTATCCTAAGAGGATCAAAACTTACACAAACTGATAACTGTGTAGGAAAATCAATACAACGTCGCCTGAACTTTCGTGCAGAACAAAATCCTGGTGATCGTGTTGTAATTAGCCCAAGAGACTTGAGTTTTAGTTGTTTGACAGTTAAGCTAGTTTATTTGAAAGGCGTGACTCAGTCCCCAAATGCCCTGGTATGGGAGTCCACTCTCCCTCTCGAAACGCTCTCACATGGGAACGTGCATACAACCACTGGCACACAAGTCCTACTCACTGTTTTTTCGCGGCGTTTGTTTGCGAAATCGATATGAGGAAAGCGAATGTCCGGCACTTAAACCGGATTGGTGGATATGAAGGTACTACCTAGAGGAGTTGGAAAATCCTGATTCTAAATCAGCGGTACACATGGGCTCCACGATCTGGAAGGAACAACGGCGTATGAACCAATCGTTGGTGACCGGCTACCATGATACTTCATCTCCTTACGTTTCTCCACTGCCTTGTGGATCAGGCTTCTAGGTCAAAGATCGCGGCGTGGCCTTCTAAGAAAACCACCTGCCTCAGTCTGAGCACCTAAGCGGTATCTTAGCCTACACACAAATCGGATGATTTATATGGCACATATCTATTTGGTGCTCTCTTGTACCAATGTTTATATGTTTAAATAAATAAACAGTAACAGAGAAATTTTATTAATCAAAAAATAACACGAACAATAATTAAATCTAACTTCTTTTTACATTTTTGCATTCTTGTTAAGTACTATGAGGTTTGCAACTTGGACAACGCAATTCTTGACTTTCGTTTTGATTCCAATTCAACAATATGTAACCAATGTTCAAGAGTGGGAGATTGCAATCCATAAGTTAGACAATGAAATCTAAATAATTTTAAAAATCATTTGCATATATTAAATTTAGGGATTGATATCTATCAGTTAAACGTTTGTATGAAGAAAAAGAACCACTTCAACTGTGGAGGACATTACGTATCATGTTAGATTAGATTACAATTGTTGAGGACAGCCAAACATGCTTGGATTGTTGCGTAAGACAATAAGGGAACTTTTTCCAGAGTTGTTATCAAATCAAACTATATTATCTGCGTATTCTAAGTCAATAAGTGGATCTTGAAAGAAGTCAGCTCGCAAAAAGCTAGATAGTAAGAGTGTTATCTGTAATGAGATGCCTAGGACAAAATTAAGTAAAAGTGGACAACCCAGACAAGCATCAACTTGAGTTTGACAATTCCGATGATAGGGACTTTGTTCAGATGAGTAGGATTACAGCACTATACATTATAATAAAGAAAATTAAATGTCAACCTTCGATTGCTAACAATACGAACTCATTGTTTACAAGCAAATGGGATGATTTTTCAATATGTCATACCTGAGTAAACACAGCATAACTGCAAATTCATCGGCTTCTATATATGTTGACTTATCCCTGCGCCATTGAACAAAATCTTGATTGATTCGCTGTAAATATGTAAAAATGAACGAAATGACATCAGACGAAAGGTAAAAATGTCTTTATTGTATGGCATATATATATATATATATATATATATATATATATATATATATATATATATATATATATATATTAATGGAAATCGTAACCCTCAAGGATTATGTAATGTGGTAGTTCGATGGCTTGTCTATAACGTAATATAGTTACAAGTATTTGATCTGGCATAAAAGTATGGGTTGCACTGCTTAGAATCGGAAAGAGTGGAATGATTAGATTATGCAAATGTAATAAACCACAAGGAGACGCCGATAAAAAGGCTTTATCAGTATAGGGTTATAGGGTTTGTTAAGTTTTTGATTGAGATTATGACTCGATTGATGTTAGACCACTGGACGACCGTTTCGTCCTATTGTGGGACTCCTCAGAGGTGAGCATCCATGATCCCACTCGCAAGACCCAGTGCTTCCAGGTTTTTAATTGGTTCATGATCTCAATTGAAACGCTTCAGTTGTTTTAAAAGTTAACTTTTCTCTAATTTAGCTTTCTTTATAACTATTTGGTGATTTCTTTTTTGGAATCAAGACTTACTTCACGAACACTGTTATATTACTTTTATCGGCTTTTATAATTACAACTGTATCTTCTACTTTAATGAATTTAGAGCTCTCAATTTCTCTCCCGAAACAATAGGTAAAAGAGGTTTCTTTTTCATCAAAATGTGAGATGTATCTTTACATATAAGGATGAGGTTCTACTTGTGGCAAATGATGAGTCAGTTAGTCGGCAACAACGTAGAAGTTCGTACGTACGTACATCAGTTCAAGTTGCTATACCATATTAGCACAGAGATACAATTGCCAATTCGAATCCCATAGTGGTAGAGGTAGTAAGAGTATAAGCAGTAATCGGAAAGATTCGGGTTTGAAGATGTTATTCAAGGAGTACAATCCAGTGAAATAAATTCGGAAAGAGAAAAAATAGGGGACATGAAGAGTTCAGAAGATAAGAATTTGGGAGAACACAAAAAGTGGATACATCTGTGCCACTGCAAACGATTTTGAGCCATGTCATTCAACGTCTCTAACCATCGGTTGCTACCGCCTCGTGCAATTGATGAACAAAATCACGTTTTTGTGCATTACCAAATATCCATAAACCCGACATCCTATTAAGACCTATGATGAATTGCACAAACACTCCACAATATACTTTACCTTAATAATTGAGCAGTATACTGGAGCCACTTCAAAATAATCTACATTACAACGCTTACTTTTGTTAGTGCCATCATGGCGTGTATTTGGTTCGAATGTTCACATGACTCATTTGTCATTATTAAAAAGATTCATCTTAGAAACTTTTCTAAATTGATAAATACTTTCTCAGCCCACATTAAATTAACTTTCGAAAATAAAACTGAACACAGTGAACAATCATGGTTAGACTGTTTAGTGAAAAGGAATTTAAGTAGCGTAAATCTAACCATTTACCCTAAGCCGATACATTCATTTCAACCAACTCAACACATCCACTAAGTGAAAAACTTCTATGGTTCTAAATTTATTCACGTGAGCCTTAAAGATCACTGAGTCAGATGAACATGAATGAAATATCTTGGGTTGATTGCTATCTCCATCACCTCAAAACAGGACAGAGTCTACAGATTACAAAGTGCAGATTGTGATGCATTCTATATTTCAGTCATGACACGTGTCAAAGAACATCTGAGCTACATAAAAGACTTTTACAATTATAAAGAAAGGCAAGTGGTTGAAAGTTTTTAGATACTGCTACACTGTACTGTGCTCTATAGAAAAGAGGGACAAACCGTCCATCCAAGTATCCAAACACTTAATTCTGTCCACATCTCAAACCACTAACAAACAAACAAAATTTTTTAACTCTACACTTTCAAATTAGAAATTTCACATTTCCCACTTCCACTAACAACACACACACAAG